ATAGTAGTATCTCTGTTTTAAGTTTTGTTATAATTTCATGAAGGCATTTCTTTGTGCCAGATGATGTTGCTTCAGAAACTGCATGTGTGCAACCCCTGATCTCTTCTGTGTTTATGTCTCCTGAGCCAGTACTGCTTGGGTTGGAGGCTGGAGACCTCCTTTTGTTTCTTCCTCCCTTGTCATGTTTCTGGTTTCTTCCAGACAAGTGGATAGTGGGAGTCCCTGGAACTTCCTGTATTGGTTACATTTTGTCTGAAGTATGGTGGCTGGGTCTGCTTGCCCTCCCCGGTCTGCTGATGACTGCTGGAGTAGAAGCAGAGGTGGAGCAGGCTGGTCCCTCACTTCTGAGCTGGTCAGTCATAGGAATCTTTACCACATTAGTGTGTGCCATGCGGTTGTGGTCAGCTAGGGATAGCTTCGTGGAAATCTTGGTCTTGGCTATTGGATCACGCACAGGGGCGGGATTCAGTCCAAGAAATTCTCATCAATCTGCTCTGCACTAGGAGTGGCTGAATGAAGCCAGCTGCAGTTCTGGTTCCAGGCTTATCCTGCCCAACTCCAAAATATCACCCAGCCAATCACTCATTCCCACAGTAAGACTGAATTCCTCGCACTCACCATGAGCCAGTGCAGTTCTTTGGTCTGCTGCTCCCCTCAGCAACTGCATCCTCCCACTGAGGCCCTTGGGTTTGCCAATCCCCAACTTGACCGTGACTGTGCATCTTTGGATTCCAGTGGCATTTTGCATACAGTGGGACTAGCTCCGGTGAGAGTATTCCTGGCTACAGCCTTCCACCCACATTTTTTTCTTTTCTTTCTTTCTTTCTTTCTTTCTTTCTTTCTTCTTTCCTTTCCACTTTAGTTTCTTCCTGGGTGGACAGGATCTATCTTCTTCCATCTGGTCTTCTCCAGGATGCTATATTCCAGCAACTGAGCTGTTTCTCTCACAGAGGCTTTTTTACTTTGCTGCTTACTGATCTGCCATCTTCCTAGCTCCCTGGAAAGTCTCTTTTAAAAACTATAAGAATACCAGCCATTAGATTCAGGTCCTACCTTTATAGTAAGTCCTCATTTTGATTAATTATATTTGCATAGACCCTACTTCCAAATATAGCCATGTTATGAGGTTCCAAGTGGATTGGAACTTGAGGGGAGATACCATGCAACCTAGTACAGGTGAGTAGACTATAAAATGGTTCTGTGACAAAATATAGCAATATTTCTCAAGAACCTGCAGGGAAAGACTCTCAAATTACAACACCTGCAAAGCAAAGAAGGGCAGTATGTGAGTGAAGGGTTATGTCATCAGTGCAGATCTGAAAGTCAAGCAGTCTTTAGAAAAATACAGGTCACTAGCAATTGATGATTAATAAGAACTCACTCCATCTGACTATTGCCACTGGTTTTCTTTATTTAGCAACCTCTGCTTTGGCCAGTAGATGGCACAAGAAGAAAGTCTCTTTTAAAAATTATAAGGAAAAATGGTCTTTGGTTGCAGTGTGAATAAGACAGCCATCCTCAGGGTTAATCAAGTGAAAACAGTGAGGCAGAATTTCACCCAAGACAGAGAGAGAATCAAAACCAAAGTTTAAAATGAACTTTGGGCACTGGTGAGTACAAAGACCAAAGACTATGCAAATAGTAATAAGATACCGGAGACAAAAACAATAGTTTCACACAAAACATTCTGGCACGGTAGGGAGAGATCAGCAGAACTGGGGCAATGTGAGAACAGCCGGACCAGATTAACCACTGTGGTTAAAGCTTATCGCTATGGTACTGTGAAATATACAACTGAGGTGAGAACTCCACTTGATTAGACAGTTGTCACAAGTTTTCAGGTTCATTGATTATTATACTCTACATGATTCTGATTTAAGAGTCTATTTTTAACACATCTTTGTGCTATCTATTTAAAAGCACCAAAGAGCTTCCCTAAATATCACTACTTCAAGGCACCTTGGTTGGACCAACTCAGTTCACTGTGTAAGTCGAGCACCTAGAGTTCAACAGAAAGAAAGTGAACATCTAGGGCACAGTGTGGGCTTTTAAAGATGCATTTCAGGTTGCTGCTTTGCTTATGACCTGCCAATGTGACAAGCAGCTCCACTTCTTGGGGTCCTCACTCCCCTAAGAAACTTCCTGATTATGAATGCAATTTTCTCTTAACTCTCTATCCAGAAGAAAAGGTGAGGTCCTTCCAAAGCAATGCTCCCAAAGTTGTGACAATTATACTTATCACCAATGTTTAATATCAGTTTCCTAGGAGTTTGGTCAATATGAATTGTCACCAGGAAAAGGACTTCCTCCTGTTGAAATCAATCCTCTGCATCTGCTGGACTCAGAAACTTGGACAGGACTGAATTCTGTATTGATACCTTCTCTCCCTCGGGTGTCTGTTGGCAGATAATCAAGGCCATGTTTTGCAGAAGGGAAGAGGTATTTGGTTTTATTGTTTGTTTGTTTGGTGCTGGGGATGGAACCCAGGGCTTTAACACTGAGCTACATCTCCAACCCTTTTGAATACTTTTTTAGTTTGAAACAGGTTCTCTCAAAGTCACTAAATTGTCCACAATGGGCTCCAATTTGTGATCTTCCAGCATCGGCTTCCAAAGGTACTGAGATTATAGGCATACACCACCACACCATATCGTTGACATCTTTCTTGACCCTCCCTGCTCAGAAATCTTCATCATGGTAGCATAGCAAAACTGTCTATGAAAACTTTCATGAATGCAGGCCCTCAAGTTCAAGCCTCATAGATTCTAACTCAATAGATCTGGCCTTAACGTATGTATCTGTATTCATGGAATTCAAATGGATTCAATGAACCTGTCCCTAGACCCACAGCATATGATGACCTCTCATCTTCTTGAGTATAATTCATAGATTAGCCAAGACCACAGAGCCAAAAAATATTTTAACAGGTCTCTAGATAAATAAGAACCCCTGCCTACTGCATCCTGGATTCTCAAATTCCATGGAAGCTGAGGATAAAAAACATTGACAGGAAGCTGCTAGCCCACTAAAACTCATCAATGTTAAGTAACCCACCAATCTATTGGGGTATCAGCCTTTAACATGGAGTATCAAAAGAATCCCACTAGCTACTGGAGAAATGGCTACTGATCTCCTGTTTATCCAAAAATACATATATAAGATGTAAGTTGGATATATAATTTCCGGGACCTAATGCATAATTAAAAACTGTTGGGGCCAGGAATGTAGATCAACTGCACCTTGCCTGCCTGGCAAACATGAGGTTGTGAGTTCAATTCCTGGGAACAAAAAAAAAAAAAAAAAAAAAAAGACTATTAGTACTTTCAAGATAGCAACAGCAGAGCCTTAGTTATGTGTGATGGCCTCCTGAGCACTGAGCCTTGTGTACACTGAGCCTTGTGTACCTGTACAAGTTGCACGTTCATACAACACCATCAGGACAGAGCTACTATTCAGGCATAAAAAGGGTTTTTACACCAAAGAATAACTATATTCTAATCTCTATCTGACCTTCCTTTAAATTTGCATGCCTTCCCTATCCACACTGTGGTAAAGGTGATCTTTTGGAAATGCAAATCTGATCATGTCTGTCCCCTACACAAAACTATTCAATGGCATTTGTTTGCCCTAGGATCAAGTCTGAGGCCCATCACATGGCCCACAATTCTCTGTGCAATATACCCCTGCCTACTTCTCACATCATGTTCCCCACTCTCCATGCTCCAGTTACAAAGTCTTGATTTCAATATTCACAATTTTCTGGGTTTCTTTTTACTCTGATTTACTGCATATTTTCGGTGGCAAGAAGAATCCTCTGCCTGTCTTCACCTAGCTAAATTCTGCTTATCATTTGGGTCCCACATAGGCTAAATGTTGTCTCTTCATGGCAGCTTTTTTTTTAAAAATATACTTGCTGTCTTAGTTATTTTTCTTGTAGCCGAGACAAAATATCTAACACCCAAAGTTAAAGGAGAAATATTTATTTGGCTCAGAGTTTATAAAGTTTTCAGTCCACAGTTGGTTGGCTCCAACTGTGGCATGGCAGGGTGGCATGGCAGAGGGGCATCCAAGAGGAGAAACAGTCCAAGGCAAAGTAGAGTACATAGAAGGCAACAAGCAAGATGCCATCCCAGGGACCCTCTTTCTGACTCTAATATTCTGTCCATGCAAGAAGAGCCTTCCCATTACCCATTCCCAGAACTATGCCAAGCCAATCAGGGGACTAACTTAGTAATCACACATTCTTGATCTTAGTATCACTCTAGAATCAGCCACCTCTGAAAAGCTCCACGTATGAATGCATGAGACTCTGGGGGGAAATCTAAGCTTCAGCCATAACACCGGCACATACTTTCCAGTTATCAGCCATTGTCTTTTATAAACTTATTCCCACCATTCTTAAATGGGGACTTGTGCAATTATTTGCTTCTTATCTGTCTCCTCTTCTACACTAAATGCTTCTCTCTTTGCCATATCCTGATTGCTTAGCACAGATCCTGAAACACAAGAGATGCTAAAGAAATATTTGTAAGCTGGTAAGTGAAAAAAAAATGGGAAGAGTGGGTGAACGTATGCAATTACATTCTTCTTGCTAAAGAAACAGAGACTCTCAAAGCCCACTGGCCTGATAATCCAAATTTGTCCACATTTGGCATCAGACTTCCCTTATGTGAAGGAAAACGATACTTCCCAGCCGGTCCAACGTGGCCACAGCTTTAAACTCCTGCCTTGATGTGTTTATTAACAGCACATTGCTCCACAGTACTGCCTGCTTTGCCCAGAATTTATGAGATCACTGTTATCTACCAGGACTCAGCCATAGAAACCATCTCCTTCTTTCTCTCTGAGTCCATGAACTGATGAGGGACAGCATCTGTGTTTTGGTAGCTGTGGTATTAACAGCAGCAAGAGCTTAAGTTATTAAACTGAGCAGCTTTAATCTTTGAGGATTCCTGGGACAGTGGGGATTATTGTATTTTTATTCCAGAGTCAACGCAGGTAGCTCTTCTGACCAGTTATGGTTTGCTCCCTGCAATGCCCAAACTGACCCCAAATGCCTTTCCCTAGATTGATGTCCCCAACATGGGAGAGTCAATGGAGTTCTACTTGGAGATTGACCCCGTCACCTTGAACCTGATCATCCTGGTCGCAAGCTACGTCATCTTGCTCCTGGTGTTTCTCATCTCTTGTGTGCTGTATGACTGCCGTGGCAAAGACCCCAGTAAGGAATATGCTCCTGAGTCTACCCTGGAGGCTCAGCCCTCCATACACCTGGTGGTGATGCAGCAAAGTGCCCCAGAAGCCCACTGGGCAAGGGCACCCAGCCTTCAATTTAAAAATCCTGTTCCTCTGGGGAAGAAAAGCACTGTGGTGTGAGTCCGGACAGGAGCTCTGGGGAGAGACTGTCAGGCTTTTACTGAAGAATAAACTGCCCTGCTGTGGCTCCCACTCTCCCAACACACAGGTCCTTTTGGCTAAGAAATCTGGAGCTCTGTCTTCCTTTCTGCTTTCTGGTCACTCATCATGTTTAAGGTAAGTTGCTCGAGCGGGCTTTGAGTCGAATTCTTCAAATGTGAGATGTTAGCAGCTGTTGTATGGTGTGATTGGTTGCTGGTACATTCTATATAGGAGAGACTGAGATTTGAGTAAAACTTAAAAGAAGACAGTGCAATTATTGTGTGTGTGTGTGTGTATGTGAAAAACAGAAACAGAAGAGAATGAGACTAATTGAAATCTATCCCATTTTGCACCCATACACTTTCAAAACTACAATCTGAACTCATTCATATTTCAAATTATTATTCTTTCTCTACATAGCAGCTCTTCATATACTTTTTTCCATTATGAATCAGTGTAGATCACAGTCATTGTAGAGCAAAATACAAGAATAACCAAGCTTGGATCCTGGTTTAAACCCTCTTCCACTTAGCCGCATGGCCGTGTCTGAGCTGGGCTATCTTTCTGTGCCTTGGACCTGGTAATAAGACCACCATGCTTTCTGCACTACTTAAGTGAGTTAATTCACCGACAGCAGTTGAGACAGTTCTCGACACAGGCTTTGCTGTTATGAAGACCACTGACATTTCCTTCCACGCTCCTCGTTAAGAATTTAACCTCTAGTCCTCAGATCTGACTTGATTCAATACAGTTTGTGAAGACTCACTGAAATAGTCTGAGGCCCCACGTCTTGGTGTTTCAGCCCCTCAGAACACTACTTGCTCTCCTCACTCTCTTTCTTTGTTGTTATTGACTGATAAGCTTATTCTTCTACTCATTCATTCATTTCTACCATTTTGAATTATTCTCCATTGTACGTGTTTTTGTTTCTCCTCCAGCCACCTCCTTGAGCTCAGGACATTTTATGTGTTCACTTGGTGGTTCAGTGTATGGAACTGCAGAGCAATGAGGGTGTCATGGCCCCTGCCTTTGCTGCCTAGCAGGGGGAAAAAGAGTCATGCGTGATATGGCCAGTGAGGGGCACAAAATATTGTAAGTGCTCTGCTAATAGTCTGCATGGGGTGCAGGATTCTTCATGCAGGAAAGCCTCAAGAATCATTCATAATGTGATGCAGTCAGTTTCATCTTAGACTGGAGTATCAGAAACAGGATAATTTGTCTTGAGAGACATGTGACTATTTTCCAGATGGACTAGAGTGTGCTGAAAGCTTGGAGAAAAGTGAAGGAGATGACATTGTAGCCAGAAGGAACAATAAAATCAAAAGTTGGATGCAAAAACTGTAGATTCTCTTGCCTGTGAAAGTTTGGTGGCTCTCCGAATTATGAGGAAAAGTGAGGAATTAAATTTCTCTTTCCTTACGGAAGTGGAGGGCCTGGCCCAGCCTGCTCTGTGTGCTAGAAAAATGAGTGCTGTTTCATCTCTGAAATGTTAAGTCACAATAGGAAATAATCCCAGTTACTCCGTTTTCAGATTTTGACATTTATTTTTCATTTTGTTCTTGCTTTATCAGAAAGTTGTGTTTTCTCTTAGACACACGATTTGAAAATCCTTCTAGAAGCTATCATTTGAGTCTTGCATTGGGCCCAAAGGCGAATGTGTTGAAGATTTTTGTTCCCAGCAGGTGGCGCTATCGAGAGATGGTAGAGTCTTTAAGAAGTAGCATCTAGGGGCGGAGGTTGGGTCCTTGCGGCTGGGCCCTTGACGGTAACGCTGAGGCCCTGGTCGTTCTCTCTTTTTGTTTCTTGGCCACAGTGACGTGAACAAGCCTTCTACATGATGTACTGAATGAACGTGAGCTGAAACCACAACACCCAATCAGGATGTAATGCAGAAAGAATTGTGATTTTCCTGAGAGTATTTGGAGTCAAAACTGGGGCCAAGTTTGCGTCATCCCCCTTTTTCCTATCGTTCCTCCCAACCCTGCACTCTTCCTGTGGCATTACCTCATTACCTGCTTGTATTTTAAGCCTTCATGAATTATTTGTTATTTTAATTAAAGCTTTATTTCCTGGAGGAATTATTAGTTGCATAGCTGTGAGGTTCTAATATTTTAGAAATTCATTACTAAAACCTGGTGGAATGGATTGCTGGCTAGAATCAAAAAGTTCCTTTGACTTTCAAATACTGCCTAGTTTTTGTTTCCTTATGGGTAGAACTCCCTTGGCTCACCATATTTTAATTCAGGCTCTCTCAAGACAAGGGGGAGAGGTAAGGAGAAGATGGAGATTTATAAAGAATTTTGCTACATGCTGGATCCTTTTAGTTTATATCAGTTAATTCTCAAACTGCTGTACTAGAGAAATGGAATGAAAACAAGTCTTGTTAGATTTTTTTGTCACTATGGCAAATATATGGAAAAAAAATCTAGAATTGGAAAATATTGGGGCTCGTGGTTTCTGAGATTTCAATCTATGGACAGCTGGATCTATTGTGATGAGCCCAAAATATCATGCAGGATGAAAGGTGTTCACCTCATGGCAGCCAGGAAACAGAGAGGGCAGGAATCCCAGAAAGGAAGGGGTCAGGGACAAGATATAACCTTCAAATCAGGCCTCCAGTGTCCTGCTTCCACCAGGCAGCCCCACCTGTGATAGCGCGTTCAGATATGAAATATCAATGGGCTAATCCATTGATGAGGTTAGAGTCCTCGTGATCCAGTCACCTCTAGATGCCAGCATTGCAGATTGAGCCTTTGATACACAAGTCTTTGAGAGACACTTCATTGTTAGACTATAATATCAATTTAAACATCAGGACATGAAGTTCAGGGAAGTGATAGAGCTTGTGCTAGGCCACATACCTGATCCATGTGGGAGACAGGATTTGAACTCAATTCTAGACATGTCTATTATTTCATAACCTGTTTAAAAACAGTGGCTTCCTTAGTTTGTCCCTCCTGCCTAATCTTTCTTCCACTGTAGACTTTCAGGGTCAGTTAGATGATTCCATCAGAAATGACAAAACACTAAATTGTTCACAAGTAAAAGGTGAAGCTACCATGGAGTCCAGGTGCAAAACTATTTTTTGAAGAAAAAAAAATGTTCAGAACTAACCCTCAAGTATTCAAGCCACTTCAGATACCCTACAGAAAAGTTAAAGATGAGAACATCTTTAACTTTTAGAGATATCTCTTATTTTAGAGATAAGAGATATCTTATCTAAAATAAGGTATCTCTTATTTTAGAGATAAGAGATATCTTATCTAAAATAAGGTATCTCTTATTTTAGAGATAAGGGAGGTCAGATGATCATGCACCAATGCTTAGGCTGGCAGATGGAATTTGTAGAATATGGGCATCCTGACTCACTTCTGAGTTTGTACCATAATGCCACAGCTGCCCAGAACCCAGGAAGAGTACAGAATGATTCACCAAGATGAGTTCAGGATGCCCATACTTATGATTTGTCCTTTCTGCCCTCTTTACTTTTGGAAGACAGTAAACAAGACAATCCTCTTAATTAGGGCCAAACTTCCTGAGAAAGAGGGGCAGGCAGAGTCTAGTACAGGCCAGGAGGTCAAGGGCAGCTTCTTCCTCATCTTCTCTAAAAATTCTAATAATTGAGATACAGAAAGCAAGACAGTGTCCATGCTGGGATGGCTCATTTCCACTCTACCTTTCTGTGTTGTCAGTTCCAGAGAAGGGCTTTGCAACCCCTAGGATTAAGAAAGATCTAAGTATTTCACAATCTCCCAAGACGATCAGAGGGAATTTATCTGCATGTGTTTATTTTTTATTTTTTGCTGAAGGCTTCTGCAAAATTGTTCATTTTTGTTTCTTTGTTTGTTTTATTAAACTCCAGCCATATGCTGGGAGCTGTTGGTTTTCTGGAAACATCTCCGGCCTGGTGGCCACAATTGCACACTATAGCTGACTGTTGTACTCTCAAGGTTCAAGATAGTTATCTCCCTGCGGTCGAAACACAAAGAGGGTGGAAGAGAAGTGCACTACTTCAGGGAAGGCTTAAGACTGCCCAGGAGAAACACAGTGGAAATACGATCATGGAACTTGGAATCTGGAGCATTGGTTAGAACCGATGAAACATTTCTATCGTAGTATTGATCCATGAAAATCAGTTTGTCATTGAGAGAGAGGGAGAAAAGGGAACACTGTGACAGAATTTTGGAGAGAATTTTCTACACCATCAGAAAACCAAAAGATCCAGAGAAATTAACAATTGAATTTTAAAGGCAACAAAATTGAATTTGGAAACACTCAACCATCATCTCCATGTCTGCCTATATTTAGCGTGAATCTTTCCTGCTCTTGACCTTTACTTTTGTTTTCTCTGGTTTGAGTAAGAAACACTGTTTATATAATGATTTGCACAATCTGATCAAATTGGATAACAAAGTGTGATAAGTGATGAGCTCAAAGGTGGTTAAAAAGCAGAATCATAGCATACTTGTGAATCAATTGTGAAGTGTGTTGCAACTCGTTACTAATAATAAATAATCTAATTTTATGAATGACTTATTGTTCTCTATACAGAAAGTGAACTAAAGGTTATTCCTATCACATCAATCTCAGTTCTGTGCGCTCTAATTTTGTTATTTGTACAGCACAGTGATAGTTGAAGGAACTGTATACGCCTTCAGACCACCCCTCTACTTGGCTGTGGACACCCAGTGCCAAGCCAAAGGATGCATTAGTGCCCACGGCAGATGAGTTCTGTCTCCACCAATATTACCAAGTGGTAGGAAATATTACTAAGCACTTTTCATGCATTGTCTGAATCTTCACTACAACCTTGAGTGATAATACCATTTTCCCAATTCTATACATTGCAGGCAACTAAGACTTTAGAGTTTACTTTTTAAAGTACATAGTGGTCTCCAAATGCCTTTGAGTGTGCTTTCCTATCACGAAAGAAAATTCTAGTCCTTGCCCTTGTGTGTACATATTTAAATAAATATACTTTTGTGTAATCTCACACTATACATGTATATGTGCATAAATGCATGTTCATTCTGCATGTGGATCTTGTATAACAAACTTTGGAGGCTCACATCATTCCCCTGTTCTATCTTGGATTTTGTTGCTATATAGTGGGAATCACTTACCTCCAA